CTCTCCTCTCATTCTCTGTCTGCCATCGGAGGAAGCTGCGTCGATACCCCCGGAAGATGAGAAGATGAAAAGGCGCCACCGAGGCTACTGCGAGTTCGCAGCAGTGTTACCCGGTTGTACTCCCCTCGCCGGATGTACCCGATAAAACTCGAATCTGACCACCCCACAGCCACCACCATGAATAATAATGGAGAAAAATTGACAGATCCGAAACCTGCAATTAAACCTACGCTGAATTCTTTAACCAAAGACTCGAATTCTGTGTCAAACCCCAACCCGAATTCTGGTTTTGATGACAGCTAGTGGGGCTACTGCACGGAAGAAGCAGAATCCCAAGTTCCCTATATTAACCCAAGAGTGCACGTAAAGTGTTTTATAAAATGCCTAGCTTGGATTTCCAATTATGGAAATGCCTTACTGATGTTTTCTTATAATTAGTACTTGGCTTTCTCGGTTTCCCCTTTCCCCTTCCTGCCCACTGCAGGTTTGATCTTGTTTCATCAGGCCAGCTCTTTTTGGTTGATTTGGGCCAGTATGATTCCAAGTCCCCAGTTTACCATACTGCTGATTGCGATGGTGTTGATGGGTTTGAGTTCTGCGCAGTTCTTNAGTATGATTCCAAGTCCCCAGTTTCCCATACTGCTGCTTGCGATGGTGTTGATGGGTTTGAGTTCTGCGCAGTTCTTGGATAGATGGTTGGGGAGTGCATTTCTGATGGTATAGAGGCTGGCATTTTTGACTGGTGTTGTTTGGCGTTAATGATTGTGAATGGAGCATGTTAGTTTGTATTCAGATTTTTTTTGCGTTGTGACTTGTGACTTGGGCTGTGACTTGTATTGTGACTTGTGACCTGGACTGTGACCTGTGTTGTGACTTGTGACTTGAGCTGTAATTGTACAAAAAAATCATGTCAACTGTACAAAATATGGCGGAGTTGTCGTCGGAATATTCGCCGAAGTTGGAACAGTCGTCGGAATCGGAGTAGTCGCCGGAGAGGTCGTCAGAATAGTCTTCGGAGTGGTCGCCGGAACGATAGGGAAAAAAATCTGACATGACCTTAAAATTGTGACTAAAAATTAATCGGTGACCAATAAATTTATCAAATATGTGACCTGATTTGTGACTTCAAAATAATCTGTGACCTACAAATTTTTTGATTTGTGACCAATAAAAAAATCGTGACATATAATTTTTTTTGATTTGTGACCTCAAAAATAATATGTGACCAATTAATTATATAGATGTGACAATTAATTATATAATTGTAACATCATTATATTT